GCCACACACCTGGCCCATTAGATGATTTTTAAGGTGCATAACAGAATCTGAGATATTTTCTAAAGATGAATCTGAGAGTATACATTCAGAACAGCTTGAATCTATACTCCCAAATTTAAAAAAAATTAAAAATAAAAAACCAAAGACGAATCTTCCTGCTCCATGGAAAATGAAGGAAAGCAGAAGCAGAAAGACTGGTTAAGGCCGGGCGTGGTGGCTCATGTCTGTAATCCAAGCACTTTGGAGGCCAAGGGGGGTGGATCACCTGAGGTCGGGAGCTCAAGACCAGCCTGACCAACATGGTGAAACCCCATCTTAAAATAAAAAAAGAAAGACTGGTTAAGGGAGATACTGCAAAAATCTAGTCCAAAGCCAATGGAAGTTTGAACTAGTTTGGCAGAGGCTGTAACGATAATCAGAGTTAAACAAACCAGTTCAACTCTGAGCTGCCAGATTCATTTTAAAAGAAGATAACAGCTCTTTTAAAACTGTGTGGCTCATGCTTGTAATCCCAGCACTTTGGGAGGCCAAGGTAGGAGGATCACATGAGATACAGAGTTCAAGATCAGCCTGACCAACATAGAGAAACCCCATCTCTACTAAAAATACAAAATTTGCTGAGCGTGGTGGCTTATGCCTGTAATCCCAGCTACTCAGGAGGCTGAGGCAGGAGAACTGCTTGAAGGGGAGGTTGCAGTGAGCCAAGATTACGCCACTGCACTCCAGCCTCGGCAACAAGAGCAAAACTCCATCTCAAAAAAATAAAAAATAAAAGAGGATCACAGTTCCATTTTCTTAATGAACTTGACTAGGAAAAAACAAATATATCTCAATTTAATTTAAAAAGAAGTCTTCATTAAAATGAAGACCATCCTGTTTACTTTTATTTATTTATTTATTGAGACAGAGGCATGATCTGTTCCCCAGGCAGGAGTGCAGAGGCGTGATCTCAGTTCACTCCAACAGCTACTTCCTGGGTTCCAGCGATTCTCATGCCTCAGCTTCCCAAGTAGCTGGGACTACAAGCGCATGCCACCACATCCACCTATTTTTTTATTTTTAGTAGAGAGGGAGTTTCACCATGTTGGCCATGCTGGTCTCGAACTCCTGACCTCAAATGATCCACCTGCCTCGGCCTCCCAAAGTGCTGGGACTATACAGTCACGAGCCACTGCACCTAGCCTATCCTGTTTACTTTTAATACAGCTACATGACTTAGATAAAAGGATAGTAAGGCACTTTCTAATTTTAAAAGGACATTTCTTAAGCATAATAAAGCAAATCTAGTTAAATATAAATTCAGGCCAAGAATTTAACCATGAAAAATTATGACCTGAAGACCTAAGTTTTGTGTGGGTGTATTTTTATTTTTAAAAACTGTTTATTTTAATTTTTAAAAGATTTTTATGTGTTTAAGTGCAGATTTCTCATATGCATATATTGCAGTGATGATGTCTGGGCTTTTCTTGTGCCTATCACCTAAATAGAAAACATTGTACCCAGGGCCAGGCTTGGTGGCTGACGCCTGTAATCCCAGCACTTTGGGAGGCCGAGGCGAGCGGATCATGAAGTCAAGAGATCGAAATCATCCTGGCCAACATGGTGAAACCTCGTCTCTACTAAAAAATACAAAAACTAGCTAGGTGTGGTGGCACACGCCTGTAGTCCCAGCTACTTGGGAGGCTGAGGCAGGAGAATTGCTTGAACCCGGGAGGTGGAGGTTGCAGTGAGCCGAGATCACGCCACTGCACTCCAGCCTGGTGCCTGGTGACAGAGCAAGGCTCTGTCTCAAAAAAAAAAAAGAAAACATTGTACCTAATAGGTAATTTCTCACCCTGCAGTGCCCTTTCACCCTCCCACCTTTGTGATGTCCAGTGTCTATTATTCCACTCTGTATCTCCATGTATACCTGTCATTCAGCTCCCACGTGTAAGTGAAAACATGCAGTATTTGGTTCCGTTTCCGAGTTATTTTACTTAGAATAATGGTCTCCAGTTCTATATATGTTGTTGCAAAAAACACAATTTCATTCTTTGTTTTATGGCTGAGTAGTATTCCATGGTATATATGTCACTTTTTTTTTTTTTTTGAGACAGAGTCTCACTCTGTTACCCAGGTTGGAGTACAGTGGCATAATCTCAGCTCACTGTGACCTCCACCTCCTGGATGCAACCCATTCTTCCACCTTAGCCTACTGAGTAGCTGGGATTACAGGTGCATGCCACCACAGCTGACCAATTATTGTATTTTTAGTGGAGAACAGGTTTCATGATGTTGGCCAGGCTGGTCTCAAACTCCTGATCCTAAGGTGATCCACCCACCTTGGCCTCCCAAAGTGTTGGAATTACAGGCGTGAGCCACTGCACCTAGCCATTAAAAATTAATTAATTTTAATTTTTTTAAGAGAATCTTGCTCTGTCACCCGGGATGAAGTGCAGTGGTGTAATCATGGCTCACTGCAACCTCGACCTTCTGGGTTCAGGCAGTCTCTCACCTCAGCCGTCCCAGTAGCTAGGACTACAGGTGCACACCACCATGCCTAGCTAATATTGTTTTTGGTTTTTTTTATTTTTGAAGCAGGGGTCTCATTATGTTTTCCAGGCTGGTCTCAAACTCCTGCTTTCAAGCAATCCTCCTGTCCAAACTGGTCTCAAACTCCTGACCTCAGGTGATCCACCCACCCTGGCCTCCCAAAGTGGTGGGATTATAGACATGAGCCACCGCACCCAGCCAAGACTTAGCATTTCAAAGTGCTACACCTAGGCTAACAGCTGCCAAATATTTACATTAAATCTCACAATGTAAAGCCTCTAACATTTCCCCCCAAAATATCAGCCTTTAAAATAAATAAAATTATATATTCCGATTAAGAGTATTTATGATATTTTCCAATGTGAAAAATAACATATACTGTTGATGGCCCAAGGCTTTTGTACCATCCTTTAAGAAAAGTGTCTTCCTAGCTGGGCTCAGTGGCTCACACCTGTAATCCCAGCACTTTGGGAGGCTGAGGCAGGAGGATCACCTGAGGTCAGGAGTTCGAAACTAGCCTGGGCAAAATGGTGAAACCCCGTCTTTTAAAAAAAAAAAAGAAAGAAAGAAAAGTGTCTTCCTGTGGCTGACATGGTGGCCAGCGCCTGTAGTCTCAGCTACTCTGGAGGCTAAGGCAGGAATTGCTTGAGCCCAAGAGGTCGAGGCTATGGTACACTGTGATCACACGTGTGAACAGCTAGTGTACTCCAGCCTGGGAAACACAGCAAGAACCCATCTCTTAAAAAAAGAAAAAAGAAAGAAAAGTTTATTTCTCAAAAACTAAGGCTTTCTCTGTGTCAAGTTGCTCACTATAATCAGAAAACTGTACCACATAGATACATACAGTTTTACCAATTGTCTTATTGCTTTCTACAAAACATGGATTGTAAGCTTTCTAACAAATTTTGAATCCTTTCATATATTCCTAAATAAGTAATATTGTTAATTTTTATTTACTTTTTCATTTTTTTTGAGACGGAGTTTCGCTCTTGTTACCCAGGCTGGGGTGCAATGGCGTGATCTCGGCTCACTGCAACCTCCGCCTCCTGGGTTCAGGCAATTCTCCTGCCTCAGCTTCCTGAGTAGCTGGGATTACAGGCACGCACCACCATGCCCAGCTAATTTTTTGTATTTTTAGTAGAGACGGGGTTTCACCATGTTGAACACAATGGTCTCGATCTCTTGACCTCGTGATCCACCCGCCTCGGCCTCCCAAAGTGCTGGAATTACAGGCGTGAGCCACCGCGCCCGGCCCTCATTTGTTTTTTTTGACACAGAGTCTTGCTCTGTCACCAGGCAGGAGTGCAGTGGGGCGATCACAGCTCACTGCAACCTCTACCTCCTGGGTTCAAGCGATTCTCCTGCCTCAGCCTCCCTAGTAGCTGGGAGTATAGGCGCACGCCACCATACCCAGTTAATTTTTGTATTTTTAGTAGAGATGGGGTTTCACCATGTTGGCCAGGATGGTCTCAATCTCTTGACTTTGTGATCTGCCTGCCTCAGCCTCCCAAAGTGCTGGGACTAGAGGCATGAGCCACCACGCCTGGTCCAAGTAATACTGTTAATGTTTTAACTTACATGTCCTAAGAATGACATATTGTTTATATGTGTAACACTTTTATTTAGATGCTTTTTTTTTTTGAGACAGTCTCATTCTATCGCCCAGGTTACAGCCAGGTGTGGTGGCATGTGCCTGTAGTCCCAGCTACTCAGGAGGCTGAGGTGGGAGAATTGCTTGAACCTGGGAGGCAGAGGTTGCAGTGAGCCAAGATCACGCCACTGCACTCCCGCCTAGGTGACAGAGTGAGACTCTGTCTCAAAACAACAACAACAAACAATTTCATGATATAAAAGGATCAGTTTTTTAAGCAAGTAACCTACTCACTTTCCCTACCTTGCTCCAAAAGCATAAGCATGAATCATATGTTAAATAGCACCTTCCTGAACTTTGTCAAAGAAGTCCATGAAAAATACAGATTAAGATATAATTATAAATAAAAACTAAAATTTACAACTGCAAACCAAAAAGTAAACTCTGGCTGGCTAAGGTTACTCCTAGATTCTAATTCTAAAGGAAGATTTTTCCAAACAGCAGGTGGATGAAATTTCAATGAAGATCAAAAAACTACAGATGGGGGCAAAAATGTGAGTCCTTGGGAGTCCATTATCGTGACCCTGAGGGGTTACCAAGAATGAAATATGGTTTAGAATAGAATGTTTCGAAACAGCTTATGGCAGAACATTAATTAATGTATTAACATTTTAAAACAAACAATCTAGTTCTCCTGGGCCCACTTTCTTATTTTAGTCCTAGCAACTGAGTCACATAACTTGCACTGTGATAGAGAAGTCCCCGCTGTTCTGTCCTCATGGCGGTGAACAGAGATAACTATCTTTTAATACATGTTCAAAAGATGAAATGTATGAAATTTCTGGATGGGGGGAGGTATCAAATGTCTGTATGCTTGTTGTCATTAATAAATTATCAAGTACCTATGGAATAAATAATGCTTAAAAAGAGAGCAAAGATTAGGCTTTGGGGTAACAATAATTGGACTCTCCCCAGATAATTCTAATTCATTGAGTATTTGCATAACTTGAAGCTGGGAAAAAATAAGTTTGAGGAAATATCTCGAGTACCAAGAGTTATTCCGATGCAAAGCACAAGTACTGCTAAAAAGGATCCGGCCCTTTCCACTACTCATATCTTAATGCCAATGCACAGAGTGAGTGAAGACTGCGAATGCCAAAAAAAAATGCAGAAACCTGACCTTGCCCACAAGTCGAATAGTTCTGCGCCCCTCCCCCAGCTTCCCCAGGAGCCGGTTCACGCAATCCCAATTGGTCAGTTTGCTTATTCCAGCACCTGCCTGGCAGTGACAAGGGAATCTCCAGGGGAAGACAAGAAGGTCGGAAAAAAGGCGGCCTGGGAAACTGTGAGGCCCAGGAGGACAAGGTTCGAAGAGGAAAAGGAGAGAATCTTCGGAGGGATGAGGTCGGGCAGTTAAGGGATAATGGGGACATGGCTTGGGCGGAAGGCTAGGGAACAGGGAAAGGAGATCTTAGGAGGGCCCAGATAAGGTGACAAGATGAGGGCCGCCGTCGGGCAGCCACAAGGGAAGAGTAAAGGGGCTGGAAGGCCTAGGAGCGCGGAGAGAGGAGAGCGGAGCTGTGAGGCGCGAGAAAAGCCGGAGCTGCAAGTGTTGGGGCTGCAGGGGCGACAGGGGCTGCAGGGGCGACAGGGGCAGGGAGGATAGGGACTCCGGGGCCGGCCCGCGGGTGCGAACTCACGTTCTCCCACTAGCAGGATCCGCACGTCTTTCTTCATGTCGGCGGTTCTCGGGGGCCAGCCTCCGCCTGTACGCATGGAGTGGACTCCTTTCGCCAGGAGCGCCCACCCCACGGCGCCACCTGCCAGCCTCTTCGGCCGCTGGGGCTCGCCGCGCCGCCCCTAAAGCTGCTTCCCCCTTACGGGAGCCGGGACGGCACCAGCTCCGCCTCCTCCGGCCCAGCGGGAGGCGGTGGCGTCGGGGACGACGGCACGCAGCGAGGGACACGCGCTTTCAGAACGCGAACGCTCTCAGCGCAGGAACAGCGCTCCCGCTGTCAGGCCGCCGCAGCGCAGGCCCAGGGAGCCTCGCCCACCCTCTTCTGGGCACCACGACCCCAGAGACGTTTTGGGCCCGGAATTTGACTAACAGATTCCCTGGTTTAAACCCATTTATTTATTCCACAAATAGGGACAGAAATTCCCTGTTCAAAGTCACATAATTAGAGCGTGGCAGTGACTCAGGGCAGGGCTCTTCTCACCAGACTAAACTCCAGGAGGGCGGCGACCTCCTTCCTGGTTTTCCGCTGCGTCTCCACGTTGTTGGACAGAACCCTCAGAAAATGCTTGATCGAATAGGGCGACTGGCTCCCAGAATCCGGCGCTTTCCACTCCCCGAGGTCCATCATCCTAGTCGTTTTTGCGTGTGATGCTTATAAAATACGATAAAATTCCTCTTTACGCTGTGTGAACAGACTTGTTTCTTTATAACCAAACTAAGTGCCCTTTTTCTGTCTATATAGTTTATTTTGTGGCAGGGTTTTAGGATACTTTGCTTTCTTTTCTTTCTTTTTTTGAGACGGAGTCTCCCTCTGTCGCCAGGCTGGAGTGCAGTGACGCTATCTCGGCTCACTGCAACCTCTGCCTCCCAGGTTCAAGCGATTCTCCTGCCTCAGCCTCCTGAGCAGCTTGAACTACAGGTGTGCGCCACCACACCCGGCTACTTTTTGTATTTTTTAGTAGAGACGGGGTTTCACCTTGTTGGCCAGGATGGTCTCGATTTCTTGAGACTTCGCAACCCGCTCGCCTCGACTTCCCCAAGTGCTGGGATTACAGGCGTGACTGCCCCCGGCCTCAGATAGTTTTCTTTTCTCAGGCTTATGCAGCATAATGCTAGACAAGGAGGTGGCACTGGATAATAAACTCTAACTGATTTTTCTAACATTGCCTTTATTTTCTCCTGACCCTCTCCATCTGAAGGAATTTGTTGCTATGTGCTTAATGTTTGGTACACTGGAAAATATGTATATATACACACATATATACATATATACCCATATATGTATAAAATATGTACACACATACACATGCACGTGAGAATATATATCACATCCCTAATGCTTGGCACACAGTGGGAAATGTAAAATACATATATTAAATTAGTGAGGAAGCACTATCTGTACATAATGTACCTTTTTTCTATCTTAAGTATTACATAATAAACATTTAAAGGGAATGAAATGTGAGTAATACCAATCTCCCCTTCTCCTAGGAGAAGTCATGTGGTCTCTTGCAGCAGCTAAGAGTTGCTGGCAAACTTCCTAGGTTTGAATCTAGGCTCCACATAACAGCTCTGTGATCCTGAGTAAGTGCTTTTATTTTTCCTTCTCTCAGCCACTGTTTGTTCTTCTGTAGCATGGAAATAATGATAATAATACCTTCCTCTTGAGGCGGTTGTGAGTAATAAATACAATAACACCTGTCCGGCATTTGGTACAGTGCCAAACTCTGTGTGCTCTCCTGATCTCAGCTATCATTATTAGCATATAAAACGGTCACTAAAAAGTTGTAATCCACAGGTTTTGAGGCAAATATGTTGTTGTGTTTACTGCAGAATTTCACCATCTTAGTTATTTGATGTCCCTAAGGAGCATAGGGGAGAAAGTTTCAAAAACAACTCTAACCCTGTCCGTGTTAGGAAAGATACACTCCTTGTTCACTGGGAGATAATGAAGTCACGTTACTGGGTAGATGTAAGTAAGGTGCTTTCATCTCCCTCCTCCCCATAACCTCAGTGAGTGGAAATGTGAAATTCAGGAGGCTTGGTTACCTGATCTTTCAGGGAAAAGTAGCCCTCAGAACTTTTGTGTTACAAAATGTTTGAGTTGGAGGAACCCTTATAGAGCTCCTATTCCAATCCCATTACTCTGTAGATAAGAAAAGCAAGGCCGACTGAGACACAGTGACCTGACACAGGCAGCATGGCTGAGACTGAGATTTGCTCTGCCATTTCTAGTGCATGGCTCTAGACAACTCATGTCACCTCGTTGTGCCTCAGTTTCCTCTCTACCACATGAAGGCTATGATCTCTTCCTTATGAAGTTTTTTGGAGGAGCTCATAAAATAATGTATTTTATGCAAATAATGTAATGAATTGTAAAACATTTTCTTTAAAAAAAAAGTTTCACAAATATCAGGGCACAAAGATCAAAAGCCTTTTACAGATGGGCAAATTCTTTAGGGCACTGCTTGTTCCAGCCAGCTTTGTAAAGAATCTCAATCCCTAGGAGCTCTCAATCAGTTGCCGGTTAATGACAATGTTGATTCTTTGGGGCTTCTCCAGGAGGGTGAGAGTGACAAGGTCTTCAAGGTGTTGTAGCTGTGTACTGGGTAATGTCTGGTAGGCAGGGGCTAGAAAAAACTGTTTTTCTTTTTAAGGGGGGCCATCATAGAGATAATATTGCAAAGAACTCCTTTATATATAAAACCTACTTAAAAATCCATATCTAGCCAGGTATGGTGGTTCACACCTATAATCCCAAAGCTTGGAGTAGCCGAAGTGGGAGGATCTCTTGAGGCCAGGAGTTCAAGACCAGCCTGAGAAACATCAAAACTCCATCTCTACAAAAAATAAATAAATTAACTGGGCATGGTGGCATGCACCTATAGTCCCAGTTAGGAGGCTGAGGTGGGAGGATCACTAAAGACCAGGAGTTGGAGACTGCAGTGAGCTATGATGGCAGTCTGGGTGACAGAGCCAGACCCTGTCTCTAAAAATAAAAATAAAAATCTGACAAAGCAGGCACGATGGCTCATGCCTGTAATCCTAGCAGTTTGGGAGGTCAAGGTGGGGGGATCACTTGAGGTAGGAGTTCAAGACCAGCCTGGCCAACATGGCAAAACCCCATGTCTACTAAAAATACAAAAATTAGCCAGCCATGGTGGTGCATACCTGTAATCCCAGCTACTCAGGAGGCTGAGGCAGGGGAATCGCTTGAACCCAGGAGGCAGAGGTGGTAGTGAGCTGAGACTGCACCACTGCACTCCAGCCTGGGCGACAGAGTGAGACTACATCCCAAAACAACAACAACAACAAAAACAAAACACAACAAAATCTGACTCAAGGGCTGCAGGAAAAAGGCAACATCAAACACTTTCAGTGGGCAATGGGTATAGTTTGGTACAAACTAAGGCTAGCACTTGCTAAAGTTGGAGAGTGGGAGTCTGGCATGCCAGAGCTTGCCTCCCCTGCAATATAAGTTTCTTTCTACAGTCCACAGTCATCTTCTGATCATCTATACTTCTGCCATTCTGGCTCCCTGGCTTGTCTTGAACCTTACGCCCTCCTTATGATGTTAACAAACGTCCAGCAGGGGTCACTCTGATGTTCTCCTGGAGACAGCACAGGTCGGTGGCTAAAGCAGGGTAGCTTGGCTGGGTGCGCAGGCTCAAATCCCAGCACTTTGGGAGGCTGAGGTGAGAGGATTCCTTGAGCCCAGGAGTTCAAGGCCTGTCTGACCTCATCTCTACAAAAAATTTTAAAAATTAAGCCGGGCGCAGTGGCTCACGCCTGCAATCTCAACACTTTGGAAGGCTGAGGTGGACAGGTCACCTGAGGTCAGGAGTTCAAGACCAGCCTGGGCAACATGGCGAAACCCTGCCTCCACTAAAAATATAAAAATCAGCTGGGTGTGGTGGTGGGCACCTGTAATCCCAGCTACTTGGGTGGCTGAGGCATGAGAATCGCTTGAACCCAGGAGGCAGAGGTTGCAGTGAGCCGAGATCAAGCCACTGCACTCCAGCCTGGGGATACAGCGAGACTCTGTCTACAAAGAAAGAAGAAAAAAAATTAAAGAATTAATTGGACATGGTGGCTCACACCTGTAGTCCCAGCTACATGGGAGGATTGCTGGAGCACAGGAGGTTGAGGCTGCAGTGAGCTGTGATCATACCACTGCACTCCAGACTGGGCGACAAAGTAAGACTCCCGTCTCTTAAAAACAGCAACAATAAAGAGTAAGGACGATGGAGTCTGCCTGCTAGGTCTGAACATCAATTGTGCCAGTTACTAGCTGTGCATCATTGGACGGATTATTTAACTTCTCTGTGCCTCATCTGCCAAATGGGAATAACAATAGGACATACCTCATGAGATTGTTATGAAGATTAAATTAATTAGTATAATAGGAAAAGCCAGGCATGGTTGCTTACACTTGTAATCCCAGCACTTTGGAGGCTGAGGTGGGTGTATCACCTGAGATCAGGAGTTCAAGACCAGCCTGGTCAACATGGTAAAACCCCATCTCTACTAAAAATACAAAAATTAGCCAGGTGTGGTGGTGGGCACCTGTAAGCCCAGTTACTTAGGAGGATGAGGCAGGAGAATCACTAGAACCTGGGAAGTGGAGGTTGCAGTGAGCTGAGATTGCACCATTACACTCTAGCCTGGGCAACAGCAAGATTCTATCTCCAAAAAAAAAAAAAAAAAAAACAAGACTCATTAGCTGGGTGTAATGGCATGCACCTGTAATCACTTGAGCCTAGGAGGTCAAAGCTGCAGTGAGCTGCGATTGTGCCACTGCACTCCAGACTGGGTGACAGAGTAAGACCCTGTCTCAAAAAAAAAAAGAAAAAAGAAAAACCCCAACCTATATGTATATACATATATATACACGTATTCATATATGTGTATATATACACATATATGTATATGTAGTTTTATATATATATATTATATGTATACATATATATGGAAAACCCTTAGAATAGTACCTGGTGCATGGTCAGTGATACATAGATGTTGAAGTGGGGAGATAGGAAAGACACAGTCCTTGTTCACTGGCAGATAATGAAGAAATATTCCAGGGAGAATGCCAATAACGACCTTTAGTCTCCCCCTTCCCACCCACACATCAAATAAAATAAATTATAGGGGAAGTGGCTTCTGTACACCTCTCTGAGCCTGAGGATAGAGCTTCATGATGACACATACTGCAGCAATCATAAGCCAAAGCACAGAGTTGTTGGCAGTGAATTTACTGTTGGGATATTACAGACCGATTACAGTGTATTAAATAGATTGGATAAGGCCAAGAAGACAGATTGGTATCTCTAAGACACTGATGGAATTTTCCTCTAGAATACCAGGAAGGAGCTCTACCCTCACAATACAGTCTTCATGCCTCCTCAACTGTGCAGGGGACATAGGGAGGACAGAGCAAAGTACTTTCGCCAGGAGATAAGAGGATCCATCTTTATGCCTATCAAAGGGGAAACTTGCAACACAGTCTCTCTCTGAATCCCAGGACAGCAGAACATCCAGGGCCAGTGCGCAGGCCTGCTGGGTAGAAGATAAAGTGTGTGTTAAATGACTGACATTGGGTGGGAACAGGGGGCCCCAACTCTGATTGGTGAGTTAGACACAGTCCTGGGCAGGAGACCAAATAAGACTTGGCTTGGCATCAGTCCCATGCTTCAGACCCATCTATCTTTGGTCTTTGAAGTTAAACCCAAAGCAGCATCCGTCATTTGCGTTTTCTTCACTTTTGTGTCCCATTCCTTCCAGGATGCCTTCTTCCTTTTCCCTCCCGGGCCCACTCTGGAGGAGTGGAAAAGTCCAGCGCTTTGATACCAGGTAAATACTGTATTTTATCTTGCCTTTTAACAGACTTGTTCTTGGTTCATTGTTCAAACATCCATGTCTTCTGCATCATCAGTCACAAGGGTCGGTCTCTAGAGGACATGGATCCTGCCTGTTTGCTTGATTTGACTTAAAGATATATCACTCAGCACAATTACTTATTAAAAGGCATTTGATTATAACAGTGTTGAAAGGAAATTTCCAGACAAGAGCTTCATCTGTTAATTAGGTTGCATCCAGTTTTCTTTTTAATTTTCTTGAGCTCCTTTCAGACAAATTGGAAAACAAATACTCTCAATTAAGACATAATTGATATTGAGAAGCCTACCCCCAAATGGCCTGAATTTCTGTGGGTGATTAAGAGCATGGGCTCTGGAGCCTACATTTTATCTCCAATACTTTGCTAGCTGTGTAACACTGACTAGCAATGTTGGGCGAATGACTGACCTCCTGAAAAACATAAACCTCATCTGCAAAATGGAGCTATTTCATAGGTTTCTTCTGAGGATTAAATAAAATAATGCAGGTAAAGCATTCATCACATTGCTTAAAATGTAGTACATGCTCTCATATCACCCTTAAATTAGAAATTCATTTACTGATTTGTATCATCTTCCCAAAGGCAAATTGATTAGCCTGCCCACCAAATTGTAAACTCTGAAAGGCAAAAATGCATTTAAGTTGTAATCACTTTAGAGACATTAAAAATTTTGCTGACTTCTTTTTTTTTTTTTGCTTTGAGACAGGATCTCACTCTGTCACCCAGGATGGAGTGCAGTGTCGCAGTCTCAATTCACTGCAATCTCCACCCCACACTCCACCCCCACCCTTTTATTCCCCAACCCCTGGGCTCAAGGGATCCTCCCACCTCAGCCTCCTGAGTAACTAGGACTACAGGCATGCACCATTATGCCCATCTAATTTTTTGTTATTGTTGTTTTATTTTTTGTAGAGACGGGGTTTTTATCATGTTGCCCGGCTGGTCCTGAACTGGGCTCAAATGATCCACCTGCCTCAGCCTCCTAATGTGCTGGTATTACAGATGTGAGCCACCACATCTAGCCTGCTGACTTATTTTATCTTTTATACACACACACACACACACACACACTCTCTCTCTCTCTCTCTGTCTCTCTTAAAAGTTTTTTAGGCCACAAGTCATTTCTGCCAAACAAAAAATTCCATGGAATGGTACATTTATAATTTATTTTCTTGCTCTTCTTTAATGCAAGAAAAAACTATCATTTCTGTTTATCTCTGCAAAGAAATCGCAAGAATTAAATACATTATAAGAAAATAATTCAAAAGAAAAAATGTAGATAGATAAATATGTACAGTCCACCCTCCATGTCCATGAATTCCACATCTGTGGCTTCAACAAAATGAGGATGGAAAATACAATATTCTTGGAATGTAGAACACATGGTTACAGAGGCTTACTTTTCACATCCGGGGTTTCAGCAGGGCCAACTGCAGGACCTGAGCATCCTCAGATTTTGGTATTCAAGGGGATCCTGGAATAAATCCTCTTCAGTATCAAGGGATGACCATGTATATATCTAGTCATGCACCACACAACAACATTTTGGTCAATGATGAACCACATATATGACGGTGGTCCCATAAGAAGATAAGCTGTATTTTTACTGTACTTTTTATGTGTTCAGATACATTTGGATACACAGATGCGTTCACCATTGTGTTACAGTTGCCTACAGTATTCAGTGTAGTAACATACTGTACAGGTTCATGCCTAGCAGCAATGAGGGATAGTCTTAGGGCATTGAGCCCTTAACCTGTGGGCTCACCAAGTGTCAGAACTGAACTGAATTATATGACATCCAGCTGGTTACAGAATTGCTTGCTTGGTGTGTGAGGGAAAAAACTCACATATATCTGGTATCAAAAGTGTTATGCTGAATGACTGCGTAAGAGAATAGGAAAAGACACTTGGGGCTGGGTGTGTGACTCATGCCTGTAATCCTAGCACTTTGGGAGGCCAAGGCAGGCAGATCACTTGAGGCCAGGAGTTTGACCAGCCTGGGCAACAAGGCAAAACCCCATCTCTACAAAAGATACAATAGTTAGGCCAGTGTGGTGGCTCACACCTGTAATCCTAGCACTTTGGGAGGCCGAGGAGGGCAGATTACTTGAGGTCAGGAGTTCAAGACCAACATGGAGAAACCCTGTCTCTACTAAAAATACCAAATTAGCTAGGTATGGTGGTGCATGCCTGTAATCCCAGCTACTTAGGAGGCTGAGGCAGGAGAATTGCCTGAAACCAGGAGGTGGAGGTTGCGGAGAGCCAAGATCATGCCATTGCACTGGGCAACAAGAGTGAAATTGTCTCAAAAAAAAAAAAATACAATAATTAACCAGGCATGGTGGCACATACCTATAGTCCCAGGTACTCAGGAGGCTGAGGCAGGAGGATCATTTGAGCCCAAGATACAGAGGTTGCAGTGAGCCAGTGCCATTGCACTCTAGCCTGAGTGACAGAGTAAGACTCTGTCTCAAAAAAAAAAAAAGACACTTTGGTTTTTTTCCCTTAATATCTCAGAATAAATATATTTTGTTTATAGCAACAGATATATACATATGTGTGTGTGTGTGTGTGTGTATTCTGTTTAAGCAATACTACACACTTTCTAAAATGTTAAAAAAAAAATAGAAAAGGCTGGGCGAGGTGGCTCATGCCTGTAATTCCAGCACTTTGGGAGGCTGAGGTGGGTGAATCACTTGAGGTTGGGTGTTTGAGACCAGTCTGACCAACATGGAGAAACCCCATCTCTACTAAAAATACAAAATTAGCTGGGCTTGGTGGCACATGCCCGTAATCCCAGCTACTCAGGAGGCTGAGGCCAGGATCACTTGAACCCAGGAGGTGGAGGTTTCAGTTAGCCGATATCGTGCCACCACATTCCATCCTGGGCAAAAAGAGCAAAAAACTACATCAAAAAAAAAAAAAGGAAAAATGTACAATTGTAGGGTAATAGCTAAATTAAGTATGACATAACATGATTGGAATTTTTGCAGTCATTTAGTGACTATTAGAAAGATGGGAAAGTATTTACAAAATAAGTGAGAATACAGAAATATGAAAGTATATGCAATTATGACAATTAAACTGTGATATATTCATTTATGCAACTTTAACCTTCTAGACTATTTAAATTTTGAACTTTTACAAGCATGCCCATGTGTTACTCAGATAACAAAAACTAAAAGAAAAAGTATGTTAAAGATCATAAATTAATTTTAGTACAACCATCTTTTGTAAAATTTCAAAGTTTATTGATTTATTTTTATTTGTTATTATTATTACTTTTGATGGACTCTTGCTCTGTGGCCCACACTGGAGTGCAGTGGTGCAATCTCAGCTCACTGCAACCTCTGCCTCCTGGGTTCAAGCTATTCTCCTGCCTCAGCCTCCCAGGTAGTGAGATTATAGGTGTGCACCTTAAGCCTAATTTTTGTATTTTTAGTAGAGATGGGGTTTTGCCATGTTGGCCAGGCTGGTCTTGAACTCCTGACCTCAGGTGATCCACCTGCCTCGGCCTCAGAAAGTGCTGGGATTACAGCCATGATTCACCACACCCAGCATTTTTTTTGAGACGGAGTCTCAAGTCTTGCTCTGTTGCCCAAGTTGGAATACAGAGGCACAACCTCAGCTCACGGCAGCCTCTGCCTCCCAGGTTCAAGTGATTTTCTTGTCTCAGCCTCCCTAGGAGCTGGGATAACAGGTGCATTTTACCATACCTGCTAATTTTTGTATTTTTAGGCTGGTCTCAAACTTCTGACCTCAGGTAATCCACCTGTCTCAGCCACCCAAAATGCTGGATTATAGGTGTGAGCCACCACACCCAGCCCAAAAGTTAATTAGTAATTGTGTATTTTTTTATTTTTTATTTTGAGATGGAATCTCGCTTTGTCACTCAGGCTGGAGTGAAGTGACACGATCTTGGCTCACTGCCACCTCCGCCTCCTGGGTTCAAGTGATTCTCCTCAAGTGATACTCCTGCCTCAGCCTCCCGAGTAGCTGGGACTACAGGCGCATGCCACCACACCTGGCTAATGTTTTGTACTTTTAGTAGAGATGGGGTTTTCCTGTGTTAACCAGGACGGTCTCGAACTCCTGACCTTGTGATCTGCCTGCTTCGGCCTCCCAAAGTGCTGGGATTACAGTTCTGAGCCACTACACCTGGCCTAATAATTATGTATTTTAAACTATGTAGAAACATTCTGAAGAATAACAATGCTTTAAGTGAGATGCTAATGTAGGATATCATGTTTATTAAGTCATTCAACAAATATTTACTAATTTCCACTATGCTCGAGGCTCTGTGCTAGGTGCTAAGGACATAGTAATGAACAACATAGATTTTTATCAAGGCAGGCAAGTTGTGAACAAGGAATTTCATGTTTAGGCATCCATATTTCTTCTCACTAGAATCCTCCAAATTATTCCCTACTTGTCCTAACCACCCCTTCCAAAAACCTTCCCTAAGAGGTACAGTAAGCATTTCCCTGAGTTTATGAACTGCTATCACAAATTAACCGAACCCAAGGAAGGGGATGGGGGAATGCCAGTTTATAGCTGGTCGATCACAAGCACAGTTCACAACCTGGGGCTTGTGATTGGCATCTGACATAGGGACAGTTTTGTGGGACTGAGTCCTCAACCTATGAGATCTGACAGTATGTTCTGGTAGATAGTGTCAGAATTGAACTCAATTATAGGACACCCAGCTGGTATCTGCTGCAGAATTACTTGCTTGGTGTGTGGGGAAATAATCCCCACACATCTGGGGTCACAGAAGCATTCTGTTTCCTATTCCTAGGGAATAGGAAACACAGCACTTGGCCAGATGTAGTAGCTCATGCCTATAATTCTAGCACTTTGGGAGGCTGAGGTGGGTGGATCACCTGAGGTCAGGCGTTTGAGACCAGCCTGACCAATACGGCGAAACCTCATTTCTACCAAATATACAAAA